AAAACCGACTTCAATATAAATTATTAAGAATAACTCAAAAACTATTGGTCAGACCTTAATCAAATTTATATGGGACCACATTTGAAGTACCAGCTTTTAAATAAAAAAAGAATCATCAAAATCGGTTCACCCAGTAAAAGTTATGAGGTAACACACATAAAAAAACATACAGTCGAATTGAGTACCGTCTCCTTTTTGAAGTCGGTAGAAAACTTACAACCTACCAATCTAATACATTCTTTGTTACTAAGTCTTTGACTTTTTTGTAAGCATATTAGTCGCTTTCCGTTTATAGTGAAATAGGGGTGAAGTTTTTAATGTAACTATTTAGACGCCATTTAAATTGTGATATTCCTCAGTCCGCTTAAAAAGGTAAAAAATAACTTTTAAGCCAAGTTTAGATATAGTGTATTCAACATTGAATGCCCCGAATTTAAAATGTAAAATTAATTAATTCTTTTTAGTTTTCTGACTGACGGCTTTTACTTTTTTTATAGGATAGGGTGACAAACGAGCACACAGTCCACTTGATGGTATGTGGATACTGTGGTCCATAGACATCTACATCTATCCTCATATACGAATCAAAATGCAGATGCGTCGTCACCCGTGAGGACTAAGATGGAATGCCTCGTTTCCAGTAAAATGGTCTCCAGTTCTCTACACTCACCATAAGAAACACAGCAGTGTCAAGCTGCCATTTTACGTTGGTATTCTGTGAGAGCGTAGTCCTTCCCCGGTCGAGCCGACCCGTTCTTGTTACAACTATACTACTAATATAACTGCAGCATGGTTGTACCACGTATAAAATTTGTTTTAATAATTAATAATAATAATTTTAATAATAAATAAGAGAACCCTCTTAGGCACGAGGGGAGGCCTGTGCCCAGCAGTGGGACGTATATAAGCTGTAACTTTAAACTATCAATTGTCGTGTGATGGTGTTGTGCGAGAACACTTGAACCCATTTTGTGCCGCTGATATCGTAAGAGGCGGCTATGGGAAATGCCAGAAAAATTTTATGGCTTCTGATAGATTGAAGTACACCCATTTCACTTAAACCAAAACGTAAAATCAAGACCGGCAACGGGACACAGCGTTAATGGCACTAGACGTCTAGTACAGCGATCGTCAATCCGTCTGTCAAACGTGACGATTAATGCTTGGTTTCTATAATTATGAAAAATTTCGTTTTCCCTTACGTGGCCCTTCTGCACTTCAGAAAATTTACAAAAAAAAAATTTTATGAACCAAAATACTGATTTAACTATCTTGACAAGAGTTGTTTCATTTTAACCGTCTTGATTGATCCAGAGCACAGCTTTTAATAGTAATTATTTTAATACACATTTCGGGTCTAATAACTTGAATAGAAAATTTAAAAAAACACCCGAAACAAAAACAATTGATGACGTTCAAACGGCTGAACCGATTTTGATAAAACATGTCTAAAAACAACCGCTAGAAAACCTGCATTTAAATTAAAAAAACCGCAATCGGTTCAAGCGTTTTAGAGATTCGGTGCCACAGACATACGCACAGACAGACACACATAGCGATCAAACTTATAACACCCCTTTTTGCGTCGGGGGCAATAAAACGGTTCGTAATGAAAACGAAACGTTTTCCTTTATTCAAGACAAAATCTTGAATATGTAGATTTTTTTATATGATAGGGTGACAAACGAGCACACCGTCCACCTGATAGTAAGTGGTTGCTGTGGCCTTTCACCTATTTACATAGACAAGCAGGTCTGCAATCACTGTTGCATTCCAGCTTTGAAGTTTGTGGCGAGCTAGTACATATGCTTTGAGAAATTCCATCTTATTTTTAATGGGATAAGGGTGACAAGCGACCACACAGTCCACCTGATAGTAAGTGGTTGCTGTGGCCCATAGACATCTACATTTATCCTCGTTTGTGAATCAAAATGCAGATGCGTTGTCACCCGTGAGGACTAAGATGGAATGCCTCTTTTCCAGTAAAAAGGGTCTCCGGTTCTCTACGCTCACCATACGAGACACAGCAGTGTTAAGCTGCTATTTTACGCTGGTATTCTGTGAGAGCGTGGTCCTTCCCCGGTCGAGCCGACCCATTCGTGCTACAACCATACTATACTACTAATATAGCTGCAGCTACTATATATGAGAGTAGTTGCAGACACTAGCCAGGTTCAATCGATCATTTAATAGTAGTGGCGGTGTAAAAATATCCACTACTGGTATGGAGTGTAGTGTGGGTTTCCCTCTATCGCCTCTTACGACTGTGAGACGACAGAGGTAAACAAATCAGTAGATGGGCAGCAGCGTCTTAATAACGACTAAAAATGAAAAAAACTGCTGTTGCCAACCCGCTTGGCAAGAGTACTATAATACGTACAACTATGGCAAATATCCCTCCTATGATGCAATCTATGGGGGAGGCCTGTGTTTAGCAGTAGACTTTAACAGGCTGCAACGGTAGCAGTAATCCTCCGTCCATGTCCAGAAGAGAACTTTTACGACCTAGTGACGAAGAACTCAAATTCAAATTCATTTATTTATTGTGAATACAGTAAGTTAGGTGTTAGTAAAATTTATAATAGGTATCGTATATTCTACCACAGTGTGGTGTACAAATATACGAGTATTTCTTTACGTTATAGTCAATAAAAGCAAAATGGAATACTTTTAAAATTGATTGTACATTATAAAAATACAATAATAATATGTGTAGGTGTTATTAAATATTCACAAAAATGCTATATACTTATTATAGGTGAAAAGCATCGTGCAATGATACCCATGACAAATAACACATTTTGTAATGGCGCCTTTACGTCTATATTGAGAAAAAAGAAGAAAACATCAACTTAACATCATTACAATTAAAAAATGAAGTGTAAAATCGACGCTACTTTTAGTAAGTAAATACGAATGAGATATACGAGTCCTTAAAGCCAAATTACCTGACACCGATGAAATTTAAACTCTGCCTAAGTGACGTCTAACCTAATAAAGCAATTAACGATAACAAAACCTGTTTTATTTTCGAATTAAAGACAGACTGTAACACATTAATGCTTTAGTGTTGTGACAAGAAGGAGTAATTATTACTAAGTAAAGTTCATTTTATGAGTATTTTGGAGGTGAATGCTAATTTTATAGACAACTGCAGCGTGGCTGTACCACGTTAAAATGTTAGTTATAGTAACAATGAAATTTGAGTTTTTTTATATTATTTTATTTTTAAAAAATAATTGTGACAAACGAGCACACATTCCACCTGATGGTAAGTGAATGCTGTGGCCCATGGACATCTACATCAATCTCAGATTAAGAATAAAAATGCAGATGAGTTTGTCAACCCTGAGGACTAACATGGAATATCCCGTTTCCAGTAAAAAGGATCTCCGGTTCACTATACTCACCATTTTTTTATAAAATTAGGGTGACAAACGAGCCAAACCCACCTAATGGAAAGTGGATGTGGTCCTCAATTAAGAACCAAACTGCAGATGCGTTGTCACCCCTGAGGACTAAGATGAAATACCTAGTTTCCAGTAAAAATAGTCTCCGGTCCGGTCAGTTTGCTTAAAAAGTAAATCTCGACTCAATGTATACCTATGAAAATCTATACGATACATAGCAGCATTAAGCTGCTATTTGCTGTGGTATCTCCATAATATATCGTGAGTGTTATAGGAGGCGAGTATGCGCAATTCCTAAACGCTCTTACATAAACTCTCCCGCCTGTCAGCCAAAGGTAAGCAGAGACTACTAACTTTCATTTGGCACGATCCTGACCCACGTCTTTCGCATCTTTCTAGTCGATATCAATGCATAGATGCTTGTCGGTTAAATGTATACATTTGCTTTTTCACTATAAATTTGCTTTATCGTTCTTTCATCATTAATTTTTTCACCGATACATTCATTATTTAATCCTAGTCACACCATGTATTTGCTAACAACACTTTTCTCTTATCACACAATTTTCCCCCCCTGTCATTCAGAGTCATCCCTAACATATAGTAATTAACTGTATTCCTACAGCACTATTCCTACATTCCATGATTCTGATGCTTTTTCCAAATCGTATAATCGAATCGCAAAACACACAACTGGCAGAGAATGACTTTTCGGCACTAAGTTGGCCTTTGTATCTAAAGAATTTTCTGTCTATCTCTATCTACAAATTGTTATTGTACTTTGCACTCGCACTATTCTTCTTAATTGAGATAGTTTTGAAATGAATGAGGAAAAACAAAAACTGAAGGTAGGGATAACTATAACATCGAGACATTTAGGCAGACATATAAATGACCCACTATTTAAGTTTTGAATCGTAATTATTCGATCACCTCACACACAAGTGGGTCACAATCGACCCGAGTAGCAAGAATTGATCGATCGATACAGTTCTAGTTGGTAACAGCCTTTCACCTATTTACATAGCCAAGCAGGTGTGCAATCACTGTTGCATTCCAGCTTTGAATTTTATGGGATAAGGGTGATAAGCGAGTACGTGTGTGCTCGTTTGTCACCCTTATTATATAAAAAAAACACAGTCCACCTGATGGTAAGCGGTTCTTACGCTGGTATTCTGTGAGAGCGTGGTCCTTCCCCGGTCGAGCCGACCCATTCGCGCTACAACTATACAATTAATATAGCTACAGCATGGCTATACCACGTTTAAACTACCATTACATCTTTGTCCTCAGTGGTCACACAGTCCATCTATGTACTGCCTTATTAAAAATTGTTTTCAAGTGTCCATAGACTGCAGTGGTCACTTAACATGATCATCAAGTCATATACCATAACCATTAGGTGGACTGTAGGCTCGTTTGTGACTTCAACAATAAAAAACAATGCATGTTTCTATCGTAGCTTAAACTTACAAATAATAAGCCGTCATTCATTGAATGATTACGTTGGGGATTGTAGTAAGCAGTAGTGCTAACCAGTCGATTAACTACAATGTGTCTGATAGAGTGAGAGATAGAAGTGCTACTTACATTCAAGTCCCATCCGGTTGGTGAGCTGCTCGAAACCATAAACAGTCCCATCAGGCCGCCGACAGGATTGCAGTAAGTTTAGGAAGTCGTCACAGATGCTGTTCAATTCCGGCAGGAAGCCCTGCATTGTGTGAGGGCTGGTGAGCTCGGAAGTTAAGTGGCGACGCAGATGGAACCATTTCTCACCTTGTCTGCAAATAAGGACAGATTGAGAACCATGCGCTAATAAAAAAATTAATTAGGTAAATTGAATCAAAGTAGATTTGATGAACATGCATACATAAATTATGAAACAGTAGCTCCTGATATACAGTATTCCTAGTACAGGATCTAAGGCTTAATTGGAACCTGTGTACAATTTTATTTGAGTATAATAAAGTTGTTATTGTTATTATACTCGACGTAGAAACTAAAAACCACCTTAATACTATAACAGTCGTTTTTATTTAATTATAACAAACCCATTTATATAACTAGTTTAATAAATACTAAGGCGCTGCTCAAACCTAAACACTTTTGTGTCTTGTGTGGGATACAAGCTACCAATGAATATTTTATTTTCAGTAATCAATGTGAAATCAGCCATTGATTGCGCAAACGCAGAAACTTTTTGTGTTCAGTTGCTTCCACTTGACACATACCGACCGCCAATCAAAAAGTGTTCAGTGTAGGTAACTGGACACTTTAAGTCATCAGTTGAACATTCAGTGTAGGTAACTGGACACTTTAAGTCATCAGTTGAACACAGAGGCATCACACAGCAAATTTCCTTACAATTGTACGACGCTGACATTGACGTGGTTGTTTTACCTGTAAATATTGACGGCGACGACGACGACGACGTAAATACAATTTTTATGAACAAGTGTTAATAGTGTTATTCAACGTTCTTCCCGGGTTGGCTATATAAAAAAGGGCGCAAGTATTTTTATTAAAATTCAGAAAAATTACAAATAATATCTAAAAAAAAAATGGCACAGGTACTAAGTCTCCCTGCCTCAACAAGGTGGAAACCCGTTCGGGAGGGTCACTTTGTAACCCTACCTTATCACCTCAACCTCAGGCCAGATTTGATACTTAGGTTATGCCGTTAGCTTTATAATACCGCACACGACGTTTCTACTTACATACGACCCAGAAATGCTTAGTTGATCGTTAATTTGATCCCATGTGCGTGATTATTATCGACACGTTTAAAATGCCATTGCAAAAAAGGTTATTTCAAGCATAAATACATATTACACAATGGAACCTTATCGCACGAACTAGTTAGGCTTTGTTATGGTTATTTTATTGTACACGATTCTGTCATCTAGACGACGCAGGAAGTTATCTAGTTAGGTATTCGGGACGTCAAAACATAATATCCATTTAATATCTGTCAACTCCGTGCTGTGACTTGTGACACGCGTAAGGCAGGGTTCCCATAAGCATATTTCTAGCTAAATTACAAATGCTACAGTCTTTGTATTTCGAAACTTTTCATTAAGAGTTATCTTTCAAAATATTTCCAGAATTTAGTTGCTATATTTAAAAAATCTAAGGATTTTGAAAACTAAGCTTAATTACTTCTAGTGGTTTATGGAAACGATTGAAAAATAATTAATTAATATTCCACTCGATCCTAAATTCAAATATAAATATCGAAAGAAATCATTTACAAACGTTTTTCAAATTCGTACTAAGACTCTTATGAGAAAATATGAGACACATGACGTATTAGGATAAACAAATAGAACAAAATAATTTAAAAGGTTACTTGCATGATGCAGAACCCTAAAAACTAGACGACCCTCTACAAGGTTTTGGAACCTACGTGACCGGCAATTGTAAAGCCTCGTCAAAATATCAATGATCACAGTTTGACTATTTATCATTTTCCTGTTGCGATTTTTGTCTATTCACTGCAACAACCTTTTCATGCCTACATAGACCAACATTACCAATTTATCTTAATATTGATTTTTCTTTGTATATTAAAAGCAAGGACTTCCATCATTCTATTTCAATCCGTATACGTGTGTGTAGTGGTGTTGTAAGAATATCCACTACCCCATATCGTCTCGTGGGTGTCGTAAGAAGCGACAAAGGAAAACATACCAGAAGATGGGCAGCAGCATCTTGCTGATAACAACTAGAAAATAAAAAACTATGGTTGATAACCCGCCTGCCAGGCATTGTAACTATAACAAGCATTTTCCTTATGAGGTAATTTGGGGAGGCCTATGTTCAGCAGTGGACTTTGACCTTTACGGATAAAGATCTCATTCCGTCGGCATTGAAGACTCTATCATCATAACACATCGCGTGAGTGTAGCAGATAGTAGTTTACTTAGGGAAGTTAGCAAAATCTTGTGACCTTCGGTAAATAATTATATACCATCTCATTTGTATTATCGTCACGGTGTTGTAAAGGGCAATATGGTAAATGTCAGAAAACTTTTATAACTTCTTAAAGATGGTGACATGAGACTGGTTTCTGATGATGTTGTGTTGTTAGCCTTTTGGTTTTTACAGCTTCATCGGACTCAGCACTCGCGAGGTAAAAATGGGTGAATTTTTATTATTCTGCGTCGTTACTTGCGTAATGATCACTCCTAGGATAGTTTAAAATGCACGTAAATGAGTTATTTAACGGCCGTCCCAACACGGCAACTCCGGGCTGACGGAGCCCGGCTCTGACGGCTAACTCGTATCGTTCAATGTTCTGGGCGGTGAGAAATGACCAGGGACGCGGGTGTATGGTGTGTACACAGTGTGGTGCGTCCCATCCGTTGTTGTCCTAACTGTTTTTGTAGCACTGGGTGAGTGTGTAGTGTTTATGTGTGAATGGCCGGCGACATTTCTGTCGTCGGGATCTAGCGGAACGGGGTTCGATTAGAACATTACGGGGCCTCCGGAGACTTTCCGTAACGCTCGGAGACGGGGCGTATGTGGATGCGTTTACCACTAGCGGGTTGGGATGTGTCTCGGCTCCCTCAAAATAGCGCCAAGGCATTTCCTTGAAATACTCAGAGATCGTCGGAAGTTGATAACCTCTGTGTAAGTCGGAGTTTCGCTGGTACCACCGAGCTCCAGTGGCTATGCGAATGAATATATTTTGGACGCCTTGGAGGTCGTACAAGTGTCTATGGGCCGCTTGCGCGAAAACTACGCTTGCGTAAAACATGATAGTTTTAGAGGTCTTACGCATACTTTGTACAGACGAAGCTTGTGTCTTAAGGACAATTTGCTCTTTCTGTTAACTAGTGGGTGGAGCCGACTAGTGACGATTTTGGGAATTTTGTTGCGAATGTGTTTCACGAACATGTTTTCATCTAGCGCAGAGCGGTTCGAATCGTTGACGACCGAGTTCTTTCTGATCGGCTCGATACACTGGCACTGTGTAGAGATGTTGCATCTCTTTGCGTATTTTATCGCATTTATCACGGGGAGTGCTCTGGGGAATTGTTCGGACTAATTCCAGCCGCTCAATTTCACCATCGCACATTGCAACAAAACTCGCGTTACCATCCATACCATCTGCATGATTGGCGGTCCACTACTGTGTGATTTAGAAGAAGTTTTCTCCCTCGCACAACTTCCTTGTGGAATCAATTACCACCAGCGAATTTTCCGGACGGATACGACTTAGGAACCTTCAAGAAAAGAGCTTACACCTTTCTAAAAGGCCGGTAACGCATCTGCAATTTCCCTGGTGTTGCGGTTGTTCATGGGCGGCGGTAGTCACTTACCATCAGGTGTGCCGCATGCTCGTTTGCCCCCTATTCTATAAAAAAGGATAAATTTAGATGTTTAAGAACTACAGCATCCCCTTACCATTAGGTGGGCTATGTGCTTTGTTTACCCCGTGTAGTGGCGGGTAAGAATACTCACTACCCCATATCTGCCCGTGGGTATCGTAAGCCTGAGACAGAAGATGGGCAGCAGCATCTTTCTGATAACAGCAAAACAACAGAAAAAAAACTGCGGTTGCAACCCGCTCGCCAAGCGTGGCAATTATGGCAATATACCCCTCATGAGAGTAACGAAGAAACGGCCCCTAGTCCCCGGCAGCCCCGCTATTCCTGGCTACGGTGGCGACCATGGTAACACGACGGGGCAGGGGGTGTTTTTTTTTTGTTTTTTTTTTAAAAAACGTTACCCCCACACTAGGATTTTCTCCTGTATCGTGGAGGCAGTTTACAAACACAAATTTCACAAGGACAAACATCCAGACCCGGAACAATCATTTGTAGGCCATACAAATACTTGTTCCGTGCGGGATTCGAACCCGCGCCCCCCAGCGCAGCAACTCATTGCTAAGCCACTGCGCCACGGAACCGTCAACACGGAGTGTGAAGCTGCAGTCTTCAGTAGATTTGACAGCATACAGGCAACTGAACAGACAGATCTCCAAATGCATGCGGCGGGACTTACGCAACTTCAATACAGTTTGTTTTGAAGAAGCGATCGAGCGGAACCAGGGCTCCAAAGTCTTTGCTAGAGATCTGTCTGACAGAAAGAGCCAACTGTCGAAGCTGAAGACCAAGTGTAGCAGCGTCGTTTCTGGGACACCTGAGATTTTGAGTGAGATTGAGAGCCACACGTAAGTGTGAGTAACGATCCAAGAGCGAGTCTTATCCGACACTATTCCGATGATATCCCGGACGTCAGTCTGAACGAGATTAGAATGGCTCTCCAGCACCTTAAAAGCGGCAAGGCACAAGGCGAGGATGGAATTACAGCGGAGCTTCTGAAAGCGGGTGGAAAACCGGTACTTGAAGTCCTTCAGAAGCTCTTTCATTCCGTCCTCCATGGTGGCACTACACCGAAGGCGTGGAGCAGAAGTGCGGTGGTCTTATTCTCCAAGAAAGGTGACAACGCTCTCTTGAAGAAGTACAGACCGACTTCCCTTCTGAGCCGCGTCTACATGCTGTTTTCGAGAGTCATTACGAATCGTGTCGCGCGCAGTCTTGACGACTTCCAGCCTCCCGAACAAGCCAGTTTCCGAAAAGGCTTTAGCACCATAGCATACATACCCTTCGGCAAATTGTACAGAAGTCCGACGAGTACAATTTGCCACTATGTCTGGCGTATGTGGACTATGAGAAAGCCTTTGATTCCGTCGAAATTTGGGCGGTGCTGCAGTCCCTTCAGCGATGCCAAGTTGACTGTCAGTATATCGAAGTACTGAAGTGCTTATACAGTA